CATGAAAATTTTAAAAAATGAGTGTAACCACATAGCCCACTCCTAACTTAAATTTAGTGTTCTTTGTTTAAACACTGTTTTTGAATCAACTATCGTTAAGCTATTTTTTTTAATATTAAATTTTAAGCCTTTTCAGTTATTCAAAAAATGTGAACACATTCTCTAAAAAATTATTATTTCTATTCATTAATGCAATTTATCAATTTTAATTATTTTTAAAACTTTTGTTTTATTTTTAGATTTACGTGGGTTTTACTTTTTTAATCTTTTTTTCTTTTTACAAATATTTTAGTATTTTTTATTGAGTTTTGAGAGTGTTTTTCTAGTGCCTTAATAAGAGCTTGATTAGTAATAGAAATTATTTTTATTTCTCATCTTAAACGGAGTGTTCGCGAAAAATGAAATGGGGTATAGGCTTACGGCGAAAAATTATCGCTTTTGATCGCTACTAATCTTACTTTTATCTGTTGAATCTATAAGGAGAAAATTGTTAAAAACGACTTAAACTGAAGAACGTAGTGTCCATACAAATTCAGAAAGTTGCAATATTTGACTCGGATCAAATTAAAATCAATTTAAATCACTTGCTCTCCTTTTTTCCCAAATCTATATAGACCAAAAAAGCCCAATTATTGGGATATGGTTAATTCTGGTTTAGTAATTATTTTACTTTATAGTTATTTCCTGGGGAAGGGGAGGGGAAATAATTCAATTCCCCCCCCCCCTCCCCTGAAAAAATAATCTAGGCCGCCTCTGATTTCATAGATAGGACATTTCATAGATAAGAAAGTTCATAAAAAATGGAAATATAAAGATGAAAAGAAGAGATAAAAAATAGCCTTTGTCTAAGGAAAGCCTTCTCTGTTGATTAAATGTTTTATCTATGAAATGTCCTCTAATTTAAGCTTATTTTGTTTATTTTGTTTAGTTGGGGTTGGATTGGTTAGAGGAGAAATGTAGTAAAATGTGCGGAAGAAAAACCATCAAGGAATATACAGCCATATTTATCAACTACCTCAAGTGGCCGGCGTTGCCCATGAAAAAAAAAATTCGAATTTTGTAAAATGTTTGAATTTTCAAAAAAAAAATCGATTTTTGAAAAAAAAATATTTCAAATTTGTTCAGCCTCTACAGTATATAAATATATATATATATATATATATATATATATAGATATGTTAAAAAGACGGTTCTAATGCATTTATTTTGTGATTAAGCTTTTTATTTTGATATTGAGAAAAGATTAAGAAAAAGATTTCTCAGAGGTTTGAATCAAAAATCTGCGAAACGTCTAATGAAAAAGAGGATTTTCTTTTTCTAATACTCTTATACCTTTAAATATATCAGAACATACTTGATGGTAAGCTCAATTTAAAGGGACTGTAAGAGTAAATTAAAGTCCGATTCATAAAGCTTTGTCTGACCAAGTAAACATTAGATATCAATGTCTAAATTTCAAAATCTGCTTTTTTTAAATTGAGGTTATTCTACAAAAAGGACTGGTGTAATTCTACAACAGGAAAACATATGGGAGTTATCTGATTAATATTTAAGAGTAGTGTTGTAAATCGGGCATTGCCATCTTTGCATGAAGGGTCACTTGAAAAAACGTCCTTTCGTTCCTTTCGTTCTTAAAAGTAAAAGCTCTAGTTTTTTCCTTACATCTCGACAACCTGATAAGTCGTTAACCTTTGTTTTAAAATTAAAATTCTGCTTGATACATAAACAAAATATCAAAGGTTTAAACAACCACGCTGCAAAGATGTAAGGATTACAAAATTTTAGTTAGAGAAAATTGATTGATATTCTTTTCAACTCTGAATTGATCGAAATTCTAAATTCGAAAATCTCTTTGCTGAACTGAAAGCAAAAAATATTTTTAAAAACATGTTTTCATGCTTTCAATAGTTGAGTTAGCACGAGAATAAAAAAATGGATCAAACCTTGTCATAAAAGTGCTAAAAATGTTAGAGTACAGTGAGACCCATAAAACTGTTGAGAAGGATAATGACATGAAAGCTATATATGCTGTGTTTTTGATATTGTTAAAAAGAAGATTAGGTTTAAACTTTATCTTTGGTTATAGAAATTGTCTTTGATATTTTTGAGGTAAAATTTGGCAAAAAAAAACTAAAAATATAAAGCTAAAGGGAACCATCAACTATAGTTTCAGTAAAAGTAAATATTTTCATTTACTGATAGTGCCGATTGAAGGATTCATAACTCTGATTGGATAATGAGATGATAGATGTTACCGCTATACTATTTCTATTGGTTCAGAATATGACAACAAACACATGACTGAACCCTGATTGGATCAGGCGCTAATGGACTCGGCATACAGGAGTGCATAAACGGAAGGAAAAGGTCTAAACCAGGGGGCGGAAACGTCATGTGTGTGTGTCTGTACCAAAAGAGTTTGTGTAAGGTTACCGTACCAAAGGTGTCTACTTTAGGTTTATACAGTACGTAAGAATCTCGGTATTTGTACAGTCTAGGAGAGTGCATTTGTTTATTGTTATTTGTTTACTTAAAAATAAGCTTAATATGTAAAATATTATTTACATATTCAAGTCAACACTATTAAGCCAAATTTTCATGCAAAGAATATAATTTGATTAAAGTTTACAATAAACTTTTCGCTATTCAAGTTTAATTTAACTGACGACATTGTTTTGCAATTTCATTGACTGTAATCATGTTGTGTGTCTGTACCAAAAGAGTGTGTGTAAGGTTACTGTACTGGTCTGCAAAGCAGTGCGACTGGCTTTCTCATGCCAGACCAGCGCCATTTCCTTTCCCTTTATTCCCATTCCCTGGTCTGAACAAACTGCGCATACAGTCGTCTTGTGGGTCCAGTAACTTGTGTTTATAAGTCGTCTTCCTATTCTACAGATACATCAAGTATGCATCGAAATTAATGCTTTTTATTTCTGTTTTTAAACTTTAAATCTTCAAATGTCGAAGTTTGAAAGGAATAAAAGTTGGCTAAATATCCGCGCCCTGTAGAAAATATCCAGAGAGGTTATGAACACTTGCCAAAAACTGTAGTTTATCATTTTCATATCTTTGCAATCTGACATTCATATTTCAATCCTTAAATTTAGCATCAACTTGCAAAGATTAGGCATTATAAAATTAGATTTTATGGCTAGTGTTCCATTAATTCTAATTTGGGATCTAGGGATTGAATGATAAATCTTCTACTCAAGTTGGCGAGGGAAGGCACATCAAACCAGTTTTTTTCGGCCGCACCACAAATGACGACTCAACTCACCATTATATCTCCGGAATCCGACCACTCCTTTTTTGTCCGGACGTTGCTTCTATGTTCTCAAATTTATTGGTGTATGCCATAACATGACATGGCTCAAAATTCGAACATAATAATTTAAAGTACTTAAAAAATAATGTAAACAATGCCCGACGAAAAAAGGTGTGGTTAGTCGAAATAATGGTATGTTGTGGCGTCATTTGTGGTGCGGACGAAAAATGGTGTGGTGTGCCTTTCCCGGCCTCGCTCCTGACGTTTTCTACATATTTTGAATCTATTTATAGGTTGCTTCATTGCGTCAATTCTCTAAATCTCTATTCAGAATTCTTTTTTATAAATATTACAGTCTATACAGAGTACAGACAGTACTCAGCAAAATAATAACTTTAATTTTTTTTTCATTTCTTTTCACCTTAAAATCAAAAAAAAATATTATTTTAGAAAGTCAAAATGTACAAACAATGAAGGTTTGCTAATTTGAACAATATATCAGCGTGGTCCATTATTTTAATTAGCTGTCAAAATCTCATTCAGCTTAATTATTCAAAAATAATTTAACATTTTGCAAACTACTTTTCCGAATGCTGAAGTACAAATTTGAAAAATATGAAAATTATTTACGTTGAACTAAATTCTTTTGACAATCTTACAAGAAGGAAATTGAATATTATATTGAATTTATCAAATATAGAAATATATTTATCAAGAATATAAATACTCAAATATAGAAATATCTAGAATATACTCAAATTTGCTTTTATACATTTAAGAAAAAGCAATTAAAAGGTTTAAAGCATTTGTTTGGTGTGGTGGTTTAATGTTTTTATTTTTTAGCTTGGTTTGATTAGGTTAAAATGATTGTTTGGTTAGTTTTGATTTGATTTCGGTTAGTTTGGTTTGATTTGGTTAGTTTGGTTTGATTTGGTTAGTTCGTTTTGATTTGGTTAGTTTGGTTTGATTTGGTTAGTTCGGTTTGATTTGGTTAGTTCGGTTTGATTTGGTTAGTTTGGTTTAATTTGGTTAGTTTGGTTTGATTTGGTTAGTTTGGTTTAATTTGGTTAGTTTGGTTTGATTTGGTTAGTTTGGTTTAATTTGGTTAGTTTGGTTTAATTTGGTTAGTTTGTTTTAATTTGATTAGTTTGGTTTTATTTGGTTTGGTTTGAATTGGGTAGTTTTGTTTGAGTTAGTTTGGTTTGATTTGGTTGGTTTGGTTTGAATTGGATAGTTTTGTTTGATTTGGTTAGTTCGGTTTGATTTGGTTAGTTTGGTTTGATTTGTTTAGTTTGGTTTAATTTGGTTAGTTTGGTTTAATTTGGTTAGTTTGGTTTAATTTGGTTAGTTTGGTTTAGTTTGGTTTAATTTGGTTTGTTTGGTTTAATTTGGTTAGTTTGGTTTGATTTGGTTAGTTTGGTTTAATTTGGTTAGTTTGGTTTGATTTGGTTAGTTTGGTTTAATTTGGTTAGTTTGGTTTAATTTGGTTAGTTTGTTTTAATTTGATTAGTTTGGTTTTATTTGGTTTGGTTTGAATTGGGTAGTTTTGTTTGATTTGGTTTGGTTTGATTTGGTTGGTTTGGTTTGAATTGGATAGTTTTGTTTGATTTGGTTTGGTTTGGTGTTGATCTAATCTCAAAAAGTTAAATGAATTAGAAACTTAAAGCAGTGTAGTTTAATTTGTTTTCAAATTCAAATCTAAGTTTTGAAATTCATTATTTTTATTTTCAGATGAAATGGAACCTGAGCTAGGCTGAGAGAAATCTTCTCGTATGACGAGTAGAGAAAAATTCGAGTTTTTCTTGAAAAAAATATCAAACAAAAATTTTATTTTCCTCTGAACAAAACATAATTCTGGCAAGATGGATGATATGGGAGGAGAGGAGGATATGGGAACTGATTGTCAGGTCGAATATTGTAAACATTTACTTTTTAGGATTTCAAGGATTTGCACAAATGATTTAAAGGGACTGTCAGCGTTATTTTAAGTGAACCACTAGGCAAAGATACCATTGCCCGCTTTACATCTGCAGTATAGTCAATATTCTAGAAACCTTAATCTAATGAAAAATGTGTAAGATAGCGTCATGTTTTCTTATTAGAAAAGCATCTGATAATTTCTCCGTGATTTTAACTAGGAGTAAGAAAAGAACACACTCCTCTGCTGCTTTAGTAATTGTAAATTGGCGGTACAGTCCAAACTAGGACTGTAAAGGTTGGCCCAAATGTACACCGGTGGAGCGTGAGAAATGCACAAGTCACTTTGGCAAAGGACTCACAAATGAAAATTAATAGTTTTAAGATAAAAATATAGATAACTAATTCATAAGTGATCAGGCAAAGCTTTCAAGGGTACCGTTGGAAATAGATCACAATTTCACAATTTATGCGTTTCATGTTCATTAGACATTTTGACTTGAGTCTTTCAATAGTCTTTATAATCTACAACTACAAGGAAAAAAGACACTTTTTAAAAATTTCTATGAATTTTATAATAAAAAATCATAAAAAGCTTAATATTTGATTCTTCCTATCTTAGTAAATTAATTGGAAGTTTAATGAGAAATTGAAGAAAAAAATCCTCAAGTTTCAAAACACGAATTTTTTTACGATCTAGTTTTTGGAAGAATTAATAACGAACAATGCAGAAAAAAATAAAGTTCTTTCTCCCATAAGTCCCATCTTTTTTTCGTAGCTACTACTCTTTAGATAAATTTCATTTTAAAAGGATCTCCCTGTCTAAGTAAATAAATTGGAAGCAGAAGATTAATGTTTTGCTCAAATCTTAGAAGAGACTTTTCTTTACACTGCAGAGGGAATAGGAGCCAAGATTTTCAAATATTGTCAGTTTGCCAATACAATGATTATGAACCTAGTTCTGTCATTAGACGCGTATCAAGTTCTTCTTTAATATTTTTTAGAGATAGAAACTTTTGTATAAGAAAGCGCTGATCTACAACTTTTAATCTTGTTATTCTTGAGACAACTTTTAAGTGTGATAATACTGAGATGGAATTTAAAGAAATCGAGCCGCGGTTTAAATCTGCCAAAACCCGGTTTAAATTAAGCGCAGGCCTAAATCTTGAAATATTTGATACAATTTTAAGTGGAACCAACCATATTTAAGCCGCGGCTTAAATTTAAACCGCCGCTTAAATTTTTTTAAATTCGGCCACCGAGCTTGATCTTTAAATTTTAGTTATCCTTGGTATATCCAAGAGGAACTCAATCCTTCATACCACAAATGTTTGATCCTGGAAATTGCATAATACAAGTTTGATCACCAACATTAAAATTCTTTTGTTTTTTAAATATTACTAATCTTTAACAAACTTGATCTTGATATTCACTCCACTGTAGACTAATCTCCAGTACACTGGGCTAAATTTTAAGCATGTACAGAGCTATCTGTACAGTACAAACACAGACTAAATATAAGCATGTACACTGTACAGAGCTAACCGTACAGTACAAACACAGACTAAATATAAGCATGTACACTGTACAGAGCTAACCGTACAGTACAAATACAGACTAAATATAAAGCAAAACGGGACGGTACGCCATGTACACTGTACAGAGCTAACCGTACTGTACAAATACAGACTAAATATAAGGCAAAACGGGACGGTACGCCATGTACACTGTACAGAGCTAACCGTACTGTACAAACACACACTAAATATTAGGCAAAACGGGACAGTGCGCCATGAATGAATATAGTCCCCTTTCTGTTAAAAATTTGATTGTGGAAACTGTTTTGCCACCAACTAAAAAATGTTAATCCCTATATCTTTGCAACCCAATGTGGCAGAGGTTTAACGTTTCAACGTATGAATTCTGTCAGATCAAATAATCTAAATCTTAAATATCAAAGCTTTACACCAGTAGGAGGTTGGTAAGATATAAGGATTAGAAAATTTGAGTTTGTAAAAAAAACGCGATTACTTTGTTTAATCCGTATTCCGCGCGTAGGACTTCACAAGATACTTGATCCCAGGATTAAGATTACAAAAGTTTTGAGCTCAGGGCATATTTTCAGAATAAATCAAATCTGCTACAAATTTCAAAATCTTTAGATGTATTTCTTAAATGTTAATTTGCGAAGACGATAATTATTGAAATGATTAAGGATTTCTATCTGTATTTGTTTTTTAAATTTAGTTTTACTGTCCTAATTGTCATACAAACCTTCACTGTTAGAAAAATTTTATTTATTCGAGATAAAGAATCTCCGAAATCATTTCGTAATGACGATAATTTTGTTCGGAATTATGAACTGTGTTATCAGAATGTCCGAAATGTCTCTTTATGATAATAATAAAACTCTTCGCTGATATTTATTTATATGAATTTTGCTTTTTTATATTTATTTATTTTATTTCTATGAATTTTCTTTTTTCAAAAATCAATTATGTTTTTAAAATTTAATTTTTTTTTAATTCGAATTACTGTTTTCAAGTTCTTTTAAAATTCCACGGCCTACGCCTGTCACTTCAGCGTGTAAGCTATAAAATATCATTAATGTATTTTGTCTTGTTTTAGTCGTCTGGAACTTGTGGAGGCGCAGTACCAACCATTCCCCCAATCAAGGTAGATTTGTGTTAACATCATCTCTTAAAGGGACTGTTAACTCCTGTATGCCGAGTCCATTAGCGCCTGATCCAATCAGGGTTCAGTCATGTGTTTGTTGTCTATTCTGAACCAATAGAAATAGTTTAGCGGTAACATCTATCTTTCTATCTATCTCATTTTCCAATAAGAGATATGAATCCTTCAATCTGCGCTATCAGTAAATGGAAATATTTACTGCTACTGAGACTATGGTGTGTTAGCGTAATTTCAAATGACTTTCCATGAAAAGATGACAATGTCCGATTTAAAACTTAATCTGAATTTGAATTCTCAATCTTATTAAAAATGTGGAAGGTAACGTCGATTTTCAGAATTGAGAAGTGTTTAACCCTATTCCTGCTGGGGGGGGGGGCAATTTGATCCCCCCCTGTAGTTTTTTTACATAACTCAAAAAGTATTGGTCTAAGGCTGTTGAAATTTTCTGACTTTTCCTATATACCCAAAGCCCTCCCATTAGGCCTAAAACCGGGCTTTAAAACTAAACTGCCTGAGTCTTCAGGCACACTGCCTGAATGACTGCTTTTTCCTGTAACAAACTAAATCTTTGTTTTGACCCACTTACACATGTCAGATTTTGATAAAATTTAGCTTTTTGGAAAGCCTTTGAAATAAGGAAACGAATTGCACAAGTTTTGCGAAAAAAATTACAACTTTTTTGCAAACAACCTGTCAAAGGAAATTTGCACATTTTTAATTTTCTTGATTAAAAATCAGGTTATTTAAAATTTTGCAAATATTTTTGCATATTTGAAATGGCATGGTCAAGGGCTTTTCAAAAATGTATAATTTTTCATTTTTTGGACACATTTTTTTGCAAACATTTTTACTATATAACTGGATTTTGTGATAAAAAAATTCTATTTTTGCAAATTTGCAAATTATTTTGCAGATTCTAAAAGTAGAGCACATCTAGCGTTATCTGATATTATAAATCTATGGTCACGGCTTTGAGCCAACTTATCTAAAGATTTGTTATCAATTAAATACTCTGATACATGATATACCCGCACCGCACCTCTGAGTCTGACCATTTAGTAAAAGTAAATTCAACCTCAAGTCTGACCGCGTCAACCTTGTATCACCGGCTATTGAGTGTCTGCTTTATTAATGAATGCTCGGGCGATACAGTACAAACTGGGACCGTAAAGGTTGACCAGGCTCGGAAATTCAAATGTACTACGGCTGCCCGTCGCGTAGGTAAGTGATGAATAGTTTATTATGTAATTTATGCATAATATTATTTCAGATTGTTTCTGGCGTTCCCACAGTTTTACAACAAAGTGTCCTAGCCGCACAACAGTTTGGGGTCAGAATATACTTATAAACATAGATTAAGTAAAATAACAGATAGGACGCTAGATGTCGTCTTTTTAAAGATTTATAAATATTTCGTACAAGACAGAGAGAGAATTTGTTCTACGCGTAACTCCTTTGGGCTTCTGCCTCAGGGTTATTGTGAACAAAATTTTTGAAATGACGACATTAATATCCTATCTATTATTTTAATTAATTTATGCTTATATATGTTATAAGCATACTTAGTATTGTCATCAGTAGCATTTTAGCTTTTATCATTTTTATAATTATAATTATCATTATATTATTATTATTATTATTATTATTATTATTTTTATTGTTATTTATACAACGAAGACGACTTCAATTTTGATCTCTACCAAGCTTTTAACCAGCATGGGAGTCACTTAAACACGGAAACAAAAAGAAGCTGTTCACGGAATATATATATATATGAGCGAAAAGCTTTGTTAAATAGATATATCCATTTAGTAGGACTATATTTATAAATCTATTTCCATTTAGTAATAATTTATCTATGTATCCATATATCCACACAATACACATGTCTCTTTAAAGCTGTGAGCAGAGATTTGTATCAGGTTGAATTAGCGATAAAAATCCCTGAACAATTTTCAAGGCAACATTTTAATTATAAAAATTCTTTTGTTGTCTTCTTAAATATGGGATATACTGTATATAATTTTGATTACGAACCCTAATTAGGGTTTCCAGCGAACAAAACCTCTCGCGAAAATTTTTAGTCGCATTTCGCAAACTATTTCACGAAATTTTGCATTTTTTCGCGAAAATAAATGAAGCCAAAATGCAAAAATGCGAAATGCGAAATGCAAAATGCAAAAATTCGCGAAAAAAGCGTAATTTTCGCTAAACGATTTTTCCTATTCGCCGGAAACCCAAATCCTAAATTTTACACCTTTGCACTTGCAGTGATCTCATAACCAGGAAAGTCACTGCAACATCCCAAATGTAATTAACAAGTGAAGAAAAACATCAAGCTTATACAAACAGAAAAAAAAAACATATTTTTCTAATTCTGACAGTTAATATTTAATGATTGTGATTACATGAAAGAACATTATAACGACGTTAATTTGTATAATTAGATTTTTTTCTTCAATTAATTCTGATTTAATCAAAAACAACTTTTCCTAATATTTTCCTGTTTAGGTGGTTCTAAAAATCTCTATAAATATATATATATGGGTGGTCGGGGAGTGTTATAGGCCAAAAAATTTAATTCTTTTCCACGGGCACATTCGACACTTCATTTATTATATATTAATGCAACGTTCAGATTTGTATATTCATTAACGTAACGTTCTATTTGTATTTAAGACATAACGTTCTAAATTGTACATGTACTAACATAACGTTCTGAATTTTATATATATTAATGTAACATTATAATTTGTAACGTTCTGAATTGTTCAAATCAGAATGCTATGTTAATATATATACAAATAAGAATGTTACGTTAATACAAGTACAATTCAGAATGTTACAGTAATATATACACAATTCAGAACGTTAGGTTAATATATATACAATTCAGAAAGTTACATTCATATATATACAAATCAGAACGTTACATAATGCATGTACATGTATTAACGTAACATTATGTTTTGTCTATTAACGAACGTTCAAATAAGTGTACAAATTACTGGCTTTTTTGTTCATTATTTATAGTGTTTTCCATAAATTAAAAAAAGTTCTTGAACGGCTTTAACGTAAAAGGTATCAAAAATATTTGTCTAGCTAGGATGTCTCTAAAAAACCTAGTTGCTGATGACAAGTTGACAACACCTCAAATTTGAAATCAATTTTCCTGTTTTTTTGTATATAAAAATTATCTAGACAAAAATCTTTGCCTGTATCACTGTATTCGACCTATTTTATGTTTGGTTGATCGCACTACACGACTATACAGCTTAAAATTTCCCATAAATAGAACAACTTTTTAGAATTGGGACTGTGGCGTCAATTCATTCTTTTTGTTTTGCACCATAATCTTTCTAAGATTCTTCAGATGTTTACATGATGAATAATGATTGTTGTTCCTTTCTTTAAAAAACGGAATAATCTTAAATTCTGTTTTGAACCTTTAATATTCTACAGTTACGAGAATCTTCTCAGATAAATTTTAACTTCAAAGAAAACGTCAATTCCGTTATTTTTACCTGGAATAAAAGAGAATGTTTGCGAAATTTGCTTTAATTTTTAGTTTTAAATACCATACGAGAAATTATGCTTATTTCTATACAGGAAAACAAAACCACACAAATCGATATTTGGATATAGATGTTTTTTCCTCTGACTTTAAGAAGCTCCACATTCCAAAAAGGTTTTTGTTTTTAGAAAAATTTTATTTTTTCAACAAAAAAATGTATTTATTACAAATTGTTCCCCAATCTTACTTTCCAGTGCGGTAAATGTATCTTAACTTTTAAAAGTTAAAAATTCGTTTTTCATTTTATTTCTATATAAAAACAGAATTGAACAAATTTTAAAGAAGAAAAACGTATTTTTTTAATTATGGCGTATACAGGAGGTGGAGGTTAAGAATGCTGCAGCTCTGGTCGGATCCTTTAAAAGATATAAATAAAACCGGTCTTATCAATGTTCACGAATAAAACCCGGTTTTTATCAATGTGTACGTTGACAAAAAGCTTTTATTTCTTAAAATAACTTTACGTATAGTATGACTAAAATTAACTACAGGGTGTCCCATATCATATTAGATAGTCAATGGGTCTAAATTACGATTTTCGGGACCAATCAGAAAATTTAAGAAGATTGAATCATTTTGTAAATTTGAATAAGACTTATATAAAAATTTTCTTGGAAAAAAAGGATAGGTTTTTTGAGTATTATGTGTTTATTTTGGCTCTAAAACTTAGAGATAATCTTATATGATATGTTTTATATTAATACAACGAAGACGACTTCAATTTTGATCTCTACCAAGCTTTTAACCAGCATGGGAGTCACTTAAACACGGAAACAAAAAGAAGCTGTTCACGGATAATAATTGCCTGATCACATTATCAATTATCAATAATTGCCTGATCACATTATCAATTATAAATAATTGCCAAAAACTCAAATTATCTAATATCCATATCTTTGCAACATGAATATGTAAACTTGTGATATTTTGATCAAACAGAATTAATAGTTTGAAATATCAAAGTTGCAAAGATAATGATTAGAAAATTTTAGTTTGAGGCAAAAACTCAGTTTCTTTAAAAAATAGTTTGATATTGTAAGTTTTATCTATACTTAATTTTATTTAATATTAATAATGTTACCAATATTGCTAATGTGGTTCAGTTAAAACTTTTTTTGTGAGCATGTCCTTAAATCTTATCTTACATGAAAACGTGTTAAATCAATATTACAATCTGCTTTTTCTATAATTATGTAATTGTTATAACGTTTAATTTATGTTTATAACATAATACGTTAATGCATGTAACTTCCTTAATAAACTAGTTCAATCTTTGTTTAAAAACAATTTCATTTGTGTACTAGTTAATTATAGGATATGAACATGTGCCTTCAGTTGGTTTTGTTTTTTGTCGATATTGTCTTTCAGGGTCAAAATTTCATAAAATGTTAGAAAGAGCAAAGGAATTGAGTCTTTGCCACAAACAATAATTTTCTAATCACAATATCTTTGTAACCCAATGTAGGAGACCTTAGATATTTCGAACTATGAATTATATTAGATTAAATAATCTAAGTTTGAAATATCAAATGTCTACTACAAAACATTTCGAAGTTATGGGGATTACAATTTTTTAGTTGGTGGCAAAGACTCAATTCCTTTGTTCTATATTAATTATTCTAAACATTTGTTTTTTTGCACTCATTTTAACCCTGATAGAAGAAATTTGAAAAATGAAAATTATGCAAAAATTATGCAAAAATTATTCAAAAACGATGCAAAAACGAAAGTTTTTTATCTTTGTGACAGAAACTATCTCAAGAACTGACGAGGGTCAACCCAGACCGAAATATATTTTCAATAAATGTGGAACTAACATCTACTTTTTTTACTCAACAGAGGTTTGGTCCATCACCATTACCAAATTCTAAATGATTGTTTAAAACAAAGCAAACAATCAACCATCATTCAGTAGAAGTCAGGGCTGAGACCTCATCAAATAGTATTATTTTTTAAGGATAAAGATATGGCAAAGTTTAAAAAAAAACTTACAATAATACAGTTTTGAAATTGTTATTAATTATTTTAAACATCAAAATCTAAATAGGTTCTAGTACAATAGATGGCAACGTAGAATTTCACTCTCAGCACAACTGTATTCTGACGTCACAAGTGTCAACTTAGTTTTTGTGTCCGACAAAATTATTAATAATAGTGATAATTTTAGACTAAGTGCTTATATAACAGTGAAATAAATGCAGTTGTATGTGTTCTTCATTTTCTTTTTTTAACACTTTTAAAATCTCGGAAAACATGTCAACTATTATGGAAAATTTTGTTTTCCTTGTTATATTTGACACTTTGGACGTCGTGTATTAACTATTAACATAATTGGTCCATTTCTCATGTTGCTACCTATTGTACTTGATGTTGTACAGCCTCTAGACGGTACACTAAATAATTCGCTCTTTTCTAAGATAATTATGCTTATCATTCTCTGAAATCTTTTTATAAAATTAGGTTCTAAAGTCCTTTGATTAAAAGGTCCGACATCTTAAGATTTTATTTTTCAAGAATTGGTTTCTAAAAGACGAATCTTTTTTTTCTCAAAGAATATAAGAGAGTGCTTAGATCTTAGGTTTAATTTCCTCAAAGAGAATTGAATAGAAGGAGGGGGCGATAAGGTTTCCGTACACTTTGCTGTGACGTTTTTGGACTGCTGAAGAACTAGTTTTTGCGTAACAACAATAATAAAGATTGTTAACAATAACACAAATGATAAACAGAGATCTGGCGCATCTCTGGCGTTAGATGAAGATTCACCGTATACTAACTCATGTTTGTTTACATTAGATCGCCTGCCTTTGTTATTGTTGTTACGCAAAAACTAGTTCTTCAACAGTCCAAAAACGTCACAGCAAAGTGTACGGAAACCTTATCCCCCTCTTTCTATTCAATTCTCCTTGAATCTCCTTGTAAGTGTTGAAAATGACGGGATGAAGCTAAAACTGTTAATGCGAACTTCATTTTATTCCTGGCTTGGTATAACCCAGCTTTGTCTGGAATATAAAAGTCAACCCACTCGATTAGAGTTTCCACCAAGCTAAGAAAATTCCAATGCTTCTACAGAATCGTACAAATCGACAAATTGAGGCAAATCGGTCAAGCGGTTCCTGAGATGTGATCGGATCGGATGCTAGCGAGTACGATTATAAATGTACCATTTGTATGACGGATTTGTTTTTTGTGTAGTGAACTTTGATATGTAGCTTACTACAGTGATAACCAGAGAACTCTGAAATGAGTATGAGATACAGCAATTGTGCAGTGTAAACAGACCCATTTTACTAGATTATTAATTGAATTAGTGCCTTAAGTAAATCTATTTCCTTTTTAAGAACCTTAAATACCCTTAAACATTGCTATAATGTAGTCTTCCTATTTCCTACTTAAATTGCCGTTGATCAGCTATCTATACCTATACACAAGTTTTGTTTAATTTGTCATCTTCCTCCAAGAAGTGCAATCTACAGACAGATTTCCTCAAGTACTGATCATGTTTGTTTTTACTCAAAAATTGAAATAAAAATTAAATAAAAACAGAAATTTATTTTTCATTGCAAATGATTGTTCTGTAAATCTATCTGATCTTAATAAAATGTTAGATAAAAGACAAATTAAACATGTTGATGCATACATGGAAAGTTCAGATTGTACATGAACTTATGAATACAAGAACGTCAATAGTTTATAAGTTGAAAGATTTGATTATTTCTTAATAACTGAAATGATAAGTATGTTATGTAATGAGTAATCAATGGCGCCTATTTGTGCATAATTTTGCAAATATGTGTCTCAAAAAAAGCGGGGAATAATTGGTCTACAGACTCGTTTGTAATCGGATTTGCAAGATGGAGACCATTTTTAAAGTCTACGTACAATTGCCGATTCAATGAGCCCAATTTTTTAGATTTAAAAATGACAATTTTTAAAGACTCCTAAAAATTTCCAACAAGCATTGCCGATTACATAATTGTGCAACGGCGATTATCTTATTTTTTTTGGAAACTTTAAATTGTCATTTTATGATCTCTAAAAGCCTAAAATTGGGCTTTTTAAATCGAAACATGGTCTCAGTGGTTTAAAAATGGTCTCAATCTTGAAAATACGATTATAAACAAGTACGAACGTAGATCCAATTATTCCCCGTTTTTTTAGATACCCTGTATATATTCAAAATATCTAAACAAATTTTACATCATTTATATTTGTATGTATATCTTAATGTTTGAATAAAATCTTTATAATAATAAGACAGGACATTAATTAAAACAAAGCAATAAAAGAAACAGAGTATACTTACATGCAGGGTTACTCTCAAAGAAAGAACTTCAGAGACGACTGTAAGGAATTGTATTTAATGTTAGCCTTCATAAATGGTTCAATGCATCTGTTATATTGTGTTCTTTATTGTTAAAACATTTAGTAATAATATTTAATGCCGAGGATCAAGTTTAATTTTCAGGTCGTCATTACCATATCAACCTTTATGGGTAACCATGTACCACCATTTTATCTTGGAAAGGTATTTTTAAACTGCAAAATGTTTTTATGTTGATTTGTCCCGCTTGAATCTTTAGATAAAAAGGGTTAAAGACAAAACCATTACTAATGATTTTAGCGTGAAAGCTCCACGTTTTGGTCCACTGTTTGAAGCGCAGTAAACTCTGCAGTTTGTTTTGCTCCAGTTTCCTGTCTAGAGTAATTTGCTCTATTGTTCTCTCTAGAGTAATTTTCTCTAGTGTCCTGTAGACTATTTTGCTCTATTTTCCTGTCTAGGATATTTTGCTCTATTGTCCTGTCTAAAGTATTTTGCTCTAGCGTCCTGTCTAGACTATTTTGCTATATTGTCCTGTCTAGAGTATTTTGCTCTAGTGTCCTGTCTAGAGTATTTTGCTCTAGTGTCCTGTCTAGAGTATTTTGCTATTTTGTTCTATCTAGAGTATTTTGCATTCTAGTCCTATCTAGAGTATTTTGCTATATTGTCCTGTCTAGAGTTATATATTTTCTTTAGTTTAAATACTAATCAATCTTGTTTGCCAACATATACTCACATATCGATCCCTACTAAAAGGTTTTCTATTTAAACTTTTAAGATTTTATTTCAACTATAAGGGGCTATGGGAGCTAATACAACCCCCCCCCCCTAATAATAATAATAATAATAATAATAATAATAAGAAAAAGAAGAAGAAGAAGAAGAAGAAGAAGAAGAAGAAGAAGAAGAAAAAAAAACGAAAAAAAGAATTAAATTGTTGCGAAGCGCTCTGGACTGCAGTAAGGTATCGTATGACTTACTGTGCAGCAGTGTAGGGCTCCCCCCGGCAAAATGGTGTTAGTGCCCCCGGCTAAATGATTTAATTTCACTTTCTGTTGACCAAGTTCCGAGTACATACCATACTGCACAGTGGGCTTAAATCTTTCAGAACCCGACAAAACAACTGTTTTAGGCGTTCACCTTATATATAAAAACATTATTGTTGCGGTTTCTATACAATTTTATGAAAGAATGCGAGTAAAATTTTTTTTGTCCCATATATTAAGCCCACTGTGTGTAAAATATATTAGTAAGGGGAGCCCCTACACTTCAAGGCAGGCTGAAAAGGTTTAGAACGCGCTAAACTCTAGTTTAAAGATTTCTCCAAAATTTTCCCAGAAACTCAGATAATGGACGGTATATGTTCTCCAGTTTACTATATACAACCCCGACCTATAGACGTGATATGTTCTCTAGTTTACTATATACAACACCGACCTATAGACGTGATATGTTCTCCAGTTTACCATATACAACCCCGACCTATAGACGTGATATGTTCTCCAGTTTACCATATACAACCCCGACCTATAGACGTGATATGTTCTCCAGTTTACTATATACAACCCCGGTCTATAGACGTGATATGTTCTCCAGTTTACTATATACAACACCGACCTATAGACGTGATATGTTCTCCAGTTTACCATATACAACCCCGACCTATAGACGTGATATGTTCTCTAGTTTACTGTATACAACCCTGACCTATAGACGTGATATGTTCTCCAGTTTACTATATACAACCCCGACCTATAGACGTGATATGTTCTCCAGTTTACTATACACAACACCGACCTATAGACGTGATATGTTCTCCAGTTTACTATATACAATCCCGACCTAAAGACGTGATATGTTCTCTATTTTACTATATACAATCCCGACCTATAGACGTGATATGTTCTCTATTTTAATATATACAATCCCGACCTATAGACGTGATATGTTCTCTAGTTTACTATATACAACCCCGACCTATAGACGTGATATGTTCTCTAGTTTACTATATACAACACCGACCTATAGACGTGATATGTTCTCTATTTTAATATACACTTATACGTGTAGATCAATAAAACTGTGAAACATAATATTGTTAGCCGACTGTTAGATGAAAGCTTTGATTTTAAATAGTCCAATAAACTTTCGACCAAACTTTAATGATTATTATTTTCTAAGAACAACATTCAAAGAAAGTTTCCTGATTTAATAATGTTATGTTATTTATCGGTTTATGGATAAACATTGGGCAAAATGTAAAACCAAATGTTTTCCCAAATATTGAAAAATAGTAATTTTGAGATAAGAAACTTATGCACAGAAATTATTCTAAAGCTTAAAGATTATATTATTAATAAGTTGTTTTATTGGAAAGAAAATATTTAATAATTTAAGTAATTGATTGAATTACTGAGTGAGTTTGTCAGTAAATAAAAAAGTAAGTGAGTGATTTGCTGATTGAGAGAGTCAGTTTGTTAGTAAGTAAGTAAGTGAATAATTGAATGAGAAAGTGTATGAGCTAGTGAGTAAGTCAGTAAGCTAGTGATTGAGTGAGTTAATTGAATGAGTAAGGGATTCAGTCATTATGTATGTGAGTGATTTGCTGAGTGAGTAAGTCAGCAAGTAAGTAAGTCAGTAATTGAATGAGTGAGTCTGTAATTAAGTGAGGGAGTGAATAGTCAGTTAGAAAGTGAATAAATGAATAAGTGAGTAAGGGATAGAGTCAGTCAGTCAATAAGTAAGTTAGTTATTGAGTTACTGAGTGAGTAATTGAATAAGTAAGTAATTCAGTAACTATACTGATGAGTGATTTGCCAAAGTCAGTTAGTCAGCAAGTAAGTGAGTGGAATAATTAACTGAGTGAGTCAGATAGTTAGTAGGTAAGTGAGTAAGTGACCTAAACTTAAGTGAAACTAGATGAGAAATTGAATTGAAGAATAATGTTTACTAAGAACTAACAAATAATTCCATGTATTATAAAGAACGGGTATTTTTACTGCAACTGCAATGTGAAAATTAATATAAGTCCTGCAAGTCCAAGAGATTAATATTCAATAGATTAATAAATCAGAATCATGAGATTTCATTTAAGAATGAGAAGAAAAAAGCTATTAGATACTTTAAAACAAAACTTAAAAAAGTATTCGATAGGATAGGATTATAACATTACTACCTTAATTCAGATTAAATTAACTTTGGGTATGCTTCACAAGACGTAAAAAGTAAACACTCCCTTTTTAAGAAATAGCTTGTTGACATGAACAAATGGCTGTAGGTATAATCAGTTAATTTTGAAATCAGGAATGAATGCATGAAGAGGGAAAGCAGAATTTTAGGTTTAGGTGTTGTTCTATCTATCTATCTATCCACCTATATCTCTATCTATCTATCTATCCAACTATATGTCTATCTATCTATCTATCTATCCAACTATATGTCTATCTATCTATCCAACTTTATGTTTATCTACCTATCTATCTATCTATCTATCTATCTATCTATCTATCTCCTAACCTAATTTCATTACTGGTTAGTGATTAGTCATGTAGAAATGCCCAAAATGTATAGATCTCTAAGAATCAAAGAATGGTTTCGATTTCTCCTTATAACGTATAATTACAAAAATACTGTTAAACTATACATTAATTTGCACATTAAAAAATGTATTTAAGAATAATCTGTAAAATTTAAAGAATGGGTGAGTTTTCTTTTAACCTCTTAAATTTGTTTTCAATTATTGTTCTTTGCTCCGAATTTTGTTGTTAAAACAGGGAAATGGAAATCAGTGTGTTCTGACTCCCCCTGTAAATACTTGATTTAAGAATTAGAAAATCAGGATTTTAGAACAATGATATTCAATTATTAATTTAATAACAACATTTCAGAAATAAAAAAAAAATTATAAGATCTAGGAATTAATGAAACTGCAAGTATTAATTTCACAAACACATAAAAGTTTAACTAATATAGATTTTTTACTAGTCACTAAAATTAGATATCAGAAAAATTTAAGGCATAGACATTTGTACATATTGGGCTTGCCTGTTTTAAAAAAAGTTTGTATCCAAAAAACGAGAAAAAAATTAAATTTTGAAAACTTTGCAAATACACCAATGGAAAAAGAGAAAAATTATCTTGTTTTATAATGTACAAAGCAGATAAGGCGGCAGAAACAGCAACATTTTAAGGCAAAATGATTACTTAAAAGAGGAGCGTGAAACACTCTAATTACCACTTTTAGTTAAGTGTGAGAATATTAATTACACTGGAATGAAAGAACTAAATATTGCAATTAATAGGAAAGATATATAATATACAGGCTGGATTATCATGCAATCTAATATTAAGAATATTTGAAGAAAAGCTATTTAGAAGAAAAGCTATTTGTTACAAAATGTTTTTCTTTTCAGATTTTAAGAATGTAGCAAGCTTCCAAAGTGAGAAAAAGTGTTGATTAAGAAACTTTCAAACTTCAAGTTGTTTTCCACCTAGAACCTAGAATATTATCTAGGAAGAGTGTCTAAGATCTATATAAGAGAACTATAAAACACCATATTGGACTGGGTTCTGAGAAACAAGAACATATTGAACCGCGCTGCTGGCAAACAGGAAACCAAAGATGAGATTAGAGAAATTTATTCTTTCTATCCTTCTATTTAGGAAAACATGGAAATTTTAAACAGATTGATATTTGTCTACAAAGGGACTGTATGCGTAATTTCTCTGCATTGTTAGAGTGGCATATCTGATTCACAACGGTGCCATTTAAACGATTGTCTAAGATGAACCAAGGATATAAATTTTAAATATCTTATTCGTTCAAGCAAAATTTTCAAACTTAATTTTGATTTTTTTTTAAATTTCCTGATTGATTAGATCGACTGTTCTCAGTTCCTTCACATTATCATGCATAGGTAACAAAATAAAATTGAATTAAATTTATCTGAAGAAAAACATGCTGTGGGAAAACCACCACTTTCAGTAGTTTTCCTACGATCAAATTTGAAAGTGACAAAGGAATTAAGCCTTTGCCATAAACTCAAATTTTCTAATCGCTATATTTTTGCAACATGGTGGTTTAAACCTGAAACCTTTGATATTTCAAACTTAGATTATTTGATTAATCAGAATTAATAGTTTGAAATACCCAAGTTCTACAATATTGAAATGATATATATAGGAATGAGAAAATAAGAGTTTGTGGCAAAGGCTCAATTAATTTCAACTTAATTGAAAACATCTTGAGATCGAAAAATAAATGATAGAAGATAAAAGAAAAAGCTTAAATAATAAAAAAATATCCTAAATAAATGTGTTAAAAGAATCATGAAAAGTTTATAACGACTTGAACTATTTATTGCACTATTATTTTGGTTCGCTGTGTTAAAAAGTTTTTGGAAACAAATTTTCTCTTTATCGAGAACCTTTAAGATTGAGAGAAAATTCAAGTCCAAAAACGTTGTGCCAAAATAGTATTGTTATAGGTAACTTTATGAAACGTTTGCTTACTTGTCTTACTGCAATAGCTATTTCTAGATAAAATAAGATTTATTTTAATTTATTTTGAACAAAAATTTTGAAAATATTCAAATTTTTTTGGAGAAAATGTGGGAATCAATCAAAACTTTAAAGCTCACGTTCTATAATGTACAGCTAATTTAACTTTATAGCAAGATGATTACTGTATAGCACGTTTATAAAAGAATTCACGATGAAGTGATAAAATGCACACAATAGTTTCATAACATGTTGTTTTAGGATTTTTGTTTGCAAAGCTGCCAACATTTGAGATAAACTCTAATGGTATTCAACAAGTAGAGCAGGTAGAACCTTATAGAAAACCAAGTAGAGTAGGTAGAAACCTGTAGAAAACCAAGTAGAGCAGGTAAAACCCTGTAGAAAACCAAGTAGAGCAGGTAGAACCCTGTAGAAAACCAAGTAGAGCAGGTAGAACCCTGAAGAAAACCAAGAAGAGCAGGTAAACCCCTGTAGAAAACCAAGTAGAGCAGGTAAAACCCTGTAGAAAACCAAGTAGAGCAGGTAGAACCCTGAAGAAAACCAAGTACAGCAGGTACAACCCTGTAGAAAACCAAGTAGAGCAGGTAGAACCCTGTAGAAAGCCAAGTAGAGCAGGTAAAACCCTGAAGAAAGCCAAGTAGAGCAGGTACAACCCTGTAGAAAACCAAGTACAGCAGGTAGAACCCTGCAGAAAACCAAGTAGAGCAGGTAGAACCCTGAAGAAAACCAAGTACAGCAGGTACAACCCTGTAGAAAACCAAGTAGAGCAGGTAGAACCCTGAAGAAAGCCAAGTAGAGCAGGTACAACCCTGTAGAAAACCAAGTAGAGCAGGTAAAACCCTATAGAAAACCAATTAGAGCAGGTAGAACCCTGTAAAAAAACAAGTAGAGCAGGTAGAACCCTGTAGAAAGCCAAGTAGAGCAGATACAACCCTATAGAAAACCAATTAGAGCAGGTAGAACCCTGTAGAAAACCAAGTAGAGCAGGTAAAACCCTGAAGAAAACCAAGTAGAGCAGGTAGAACCCTGTAGAAAACCAAGTAGAGCAGGTAAAACCCTATAGAAAACCAAGTAGAGCAGGTATGACCCTGTAGAAAACCAAGTAGAGAAGGTACAACCCTGTAGAAAACCAAGTAGAGCAGGTAAAACCCTGTAGAAAACCAAGTAGAGCAGGTAAAACCCTATAGAAAACCAAATAGAGCAGGTAAAATCCTGTAGAAAACCAGGTACTGTTCGTGAAAAGAATAAGAAGAACCTTGATAAAATCATGAGCTTTGCATCTTTTTTTGCTCAGTGAATTTACGCAATTTTACAAGATTGAAATAGCATGGTAATACGGATTTTCAAAAGATCAAATTAACAATTTAACCCGCAAACTTTTTGATCCACTCAAATAGAAACTGAAGGAATAAATATAAAGTCGTCTCAATTGTAAACATATTTATGCTACGTCCACTCTAAAGAATTCTAAAGTTCTTAAAGTTGAAGAAAAAATATGAATAAAATAAATTTTGTTCAGGGGAGCTTTCTTACAAACATAACAGCAGCTTCGGGAACAATTGATGTCTGTATAATTGGTCTTATTGGGTAAGTTTTATACTTTTTTCTTTTACTTTTTTCATCTTACTTTTATTTTTAAATGCTCTTTGTTTCTTATTCTTGGCTCCTTCAATTTAATAGTCTTGTTCTTGTTCTTGTTCTTGTTCTTGTTCTTGTTCTTCTTCTTTTGCTTCTTTTTCTTCTTCTTCTTCTTCTTCTTCTTCTTCTTCTTCTTCTTCTTCTTCTTCTTCTTCTTCTTCTTCTTCTTCTTCTTCTTCTGCTTCTTCTTCTTCTTCTTCTTCTCTTTTTCTTCTTCTTCTTCTTCTTCTTCCTTCTTCTTCTTCTTCTTCTTCTTTTTCTACTTTTTCTTCTTTTTAATAATAATAATTATCATCGATTATTATTATTATTTTAAAGATCATTATTAGTATCATTAATTATTATTATTATTATTATAATATACATGTTCTAACCAGGGTTGGAATAGCAGTCCTTGTTCCTCTGGTTCCAGGAGGTTTACAGCTTTTACAGAACAGGTAATTTATATATTTAACAGATATCCAGACAAATGGACAGATGGACATCTAGACAGTCGGACAAATTAAAAATTAGACATATTTACACAAAATGACAGATGCCTTTTTTCTTTTATTTTAAACAATCAAATGTTTCTGTACTTCTGTAAATCTCCCCAAGAATCAAAAATTTTTATCAAATTAGAAATTTTAATCTTCATAATTTTTCGTGTTTTTCTTTAGTCTAATGGCTGAGACAAAAAATACAAACTTAAAGGGAGTGACCGGTTAAATAACGACGACAAAAAATAAAGTAGAAATTCTATAATAAACATATTTCTCAAAAAAAAATGTCAATAAATCAATGTTAGAATCGATTATTTCATTTTTATCATTATATTGAATTTCTTATTTTTTTTTAATTTGTTCACAAATATCTACATACTCTTCAAATGTCGTCTTTTCAATAAAATTCCAGAAAAAATAACGAGAGATTATTTGTAAACTAATAATTAAATAAGATATCTTATTTTCGATGATAAGATTTAATTTTTATTTTCTCAACCTGTTTCTAGCTAAACAATTATTTAATTTACTGTTGAATTTTTGTTATATTTTTTGTCGTCGTTGTTTGACAATTTAAAAATCCGATTCTCAAAACGTACCCACCCAAATTGATGATTTTGAAAGTCGACTTTGCGCTCAAACTAGCAATAAGCGATTTTTTGTCGCTTAACTAGCAGCCATTCAAATTTTGCTGCTAATTAAGCATTTTTTTGGTTTCGTATTTTAGAATGTGGGCTGCGAAAATGAGATGTAATAAATGTCGACATAAGCCAACTTAGAATTTGTTTTTAATGTATACGAAGGAAGAAAGCAAAATATTCTGTTTTTGACGATATAAGATTTTAAAAAATAATAATTTTTCTTTTTAGAATATCTACGGATAGCTATAATTATATACAGGTATACATTTTGTTATTTAAATCTTTAAAGGGACAGACCAGCTATGTAAGGTAGTTCAACTGACTATGCAGTGTTGTGGACAAATTCTTTTAGGATTCATTTGAGACATAGCCGGTCTGTCCCTTTAAATTAAAGAAAATGAGAAGAAATATGTGATCATAGAGAAATTATGAATTGGAGAGATTAAAAAAATATCTAAGGCACTACAGATGTAATTTCAATACATCCTCCCCTTCTAAATTGGGTCAGAAGAAACTACATACACATTCTCTTTTTGAAAAAAAATTAAGATGAAAGTAAAAGAAATGAAGTAAGAATGCAAAAAAAAAATAGATTTAAAGAAGAAATAAATTCAATAAATTCAAAGAAAACTAATTAAAAGAGAAAAAACTAAATAAATATAAATAAGAAAAAACTGCGAACATTAACCTTTCAAAGATTAAGACAATTCTTGATTAAACAAGTTAAATGAAAGAAAAGCGATTCAAATAGTAACCGTTAAACCGTTAACTCATAGCAAACATTATTTATTTCCTATTGATCTGAAAATCGATTGTTATCCAGTGCGGTTATCTGTAAAAGTTAAAATTGCGGAATTGTGCAGCAGACACAAGGGAAGAATACAGAGAAACATTTTAATCTCTTTTCAAAACAGAGAACACTGACAAACTAGACAAAAAGATAATTCTAAACAACGTGACTGGTCCGGATTTGTGACCTTGTAACCTCTATGGGGTTTAATTTTACGCAGAATTATATCAAAGACTAATTTTTCTCAGCTGAAAACTTTAGAATTGGATGCACTTAATCCTGATCGCTTAATCTGAATATCCAATATGGAAACTTATCATTTTCTTTTTAATCCGCTCTATTCTACTACATGTAATAACGATACGTTTGATTACAAATAGAGATACAATGCTATATCAATTGGATTATTATCAGATTGAACCAAAGTCAGCTGGTCAGCTGTTAAACAAATATGAATTAAATCATGTTAATATGAACTTGTTAAAAAACATATTTTATTCACATTTGAAGACCAAAGTCCATTTGAACGTTAGTCTTAATAAACATTAATCCAAACTTACGTTCGGTCAATTAATCATTAGTCCAATTAATATGACACCACAACTGCGGGAAAATTAAAAACCGGTTTTCAAAAGTTAAAAAGTGCATCTGTAATCTCTAGAAAATAATCTATAAGACTAAATTAGTCTTGAGATTAGAAAAAAAGAGGATCAAGCATTGATCTGGATATTCACCATTCTAAAATATCAGCTCTGATTACATATTAGAAATTCAAAACATTTTTGTTCTTCTCAATAGCTCTTCAATAAGAGGAGTTATAATTGAAAACTTTTAAGATTTAAGATTTAAGAATTTTACTTTCCATTTACTTTAGTTTAACATGAGAAAATGACCATAATTCCTAATTGTTTGTTGAACAAAGATCAAAAGAATATCCGGTTGTAAATCTGGCAACTTGGCCTGTAAACGGAGAAAGGTTAGCCTGTAACCAGAGAAAGGTTACCCTGTAACCGGAGAAAGGTTAGTCTGTAACCGGAGAAAGGCCGGTTAGCCTGTAGCCGGAGAAAGGTTAGCCTGTAACCGAAGAAATGTAACGCTAAAAATATGGTAGACGGTTCCTTTAAAAAGGGAGGGTAGAAAAGAGAAAGGGTTCAGTTGGTTATTCATTGATAAAGTGTGAGAAAATGTATGTTCAAGGTCTCTTAAACGTGTATTTTTGCCCCCCCCCCCTTCGTATTGCTGGGAGGGAAGAGGAGGGGTCCCTCCATCCATATCGTGGAGGTAAAGATCATTATTAGTATCATTAATTATTATTATTATTATTATAATATACATGTTCTAACCAGGGTTGGAATAGCAGTCCTTGTTCCTCTGGTTCCAGGAGGTTTACAGCTTTTACAGAACAGGTAATTTATATATTTAACAGATATCCAGACAAATGGACAGATGGACATCTAGACAGTCGGACAAATTAAAAATTAGACATATTTACACAAAATGACAGATGCCTTTTTTCTTTTATTTTAAACAATCAAATGTTTCTGTACTTCTGTAAATCTCCCCAAGAATCAAAAATTTTTATCAAATTAGAAATTTTAATCTTCATAATTTTTCGTGTTTTTCTTTAGTCTAATGGCTGAGACAAAAAATACAAACTTAAAGGGAGTGACCGGTTAAATAACGACGACAAAAAATAAAGTAGAAATTCTATAATAAACATATTTCTCAAAAAAAAATGTCAATAAATCAATGTTAGAATCGATTATTTCTTATCAGGGGTACGTTCTCACACTTTCTCTATTTCTTCTCAATATTAACCTTATTCTTATTAAAATCATATATCCTAAAACGTTCACAAATACGATATATATGTATGTAAAAGGTAATCAATCATAACTTAACCACAATTTGAAAACTGATGTATTTTTCCATTGTTTTGTAAACGTTTAAATTTAGCGAAAGTATTATGGAATTACGATTGTAAAGGCATTCGTATTTTTCCCAAAATTATGAACAGCATTCTTTAAATTTGTATCAACGGTACTATGGTCAAGATACGGTTATATAACCAGAAAACTGCAGAATAGGAAGACGACATTATAGCACTGCTAAAAAGTGAATTTGATTATGTAACAAAGCAAATAGTTTTACTAGTAATGTATTAACATGCTTCAATCACGTCAATCTAATGTAAATTCCACGTAAGATTGAATCATTATATTTTATATTTTTAATGATTTGGCAAAGAAAAAAAGCAAGTTTACAGTTGCAGAAAACCATAAATGTACAGAAAAAAAAACAGTATAAATTTCATACAGTCGTAGCTAAAGTCTCGGTAACCTTCCAGCACATGTGTATTCAATTGTGTTTGCAAAGAGTTGAATTCATTTTAGAATATATTCCTTTGATTAAAAATATCAAAAGAATAAAAATTGGTAAATTTAAAAATAAAACCAAAAATATCTAAAGAATAACATTGTTTTAATTTCATTATTTTTAATAACTTACTTTAAAAACTCACATCAAAGAAAAAATTCTGAAATCTAAATGAAATAAATTTGGCTTGTCAGGGTGTCTGTTTGTTTGTTTGTCTGTTTTTTGTATCCAATAAATGTCCAAACGGCTGAACCTATCGGACCCAAATTTTGTGTGGGACATCATGTGACCCCAGGGAAGGTTTATGAATGATCAAAATTTAAAAAAATTGTGTTTAAAATATTTTTATTTTTGCAAAGTTTTGAAAATGCGCAAAAAAATATTATGAAATCTGCAAACTTTTTTTGTTTTCTGTACAAAGAGAAGATGCTCATAGATAAAGCCACAAGTTACAATACAAGATGGGCGCGAAGCACCCTAAAAGCCTAGTTTCAATAAAAAAATAATTAGATAATTCCAAACAGATTCCCATTATTTTTGTCTTAAGATACAAACTTTCTTATTCTAAATATCAAAAAATTAAAATATCTATAAACCCACAGAAAAAAATAGTAAAGGAATTGAGTCTTTGTCACAAACTATGATTTTCTAATCCCAATATCTTAGAAACTCAATGTCGTAAACCTTTGATTTTTCAAACTTATATTTTTTCATCTAACAAAAGTCATAGTTTGAAATGTCAAAGGTTTACGACGTTGGAATCAAAATATATTGGGATTAGAAAATCAGAGTTTGTGGCAAAGACTCAATTCCTTTAAAATGTCAATAGGTTTGCGCTTTAAAGTAGGTCCACGTGTATTTGGTTTATTTCAAAGGATCGAAAACAGTTTTAGGATTTTCCAAATAGATTCAAGTACAATAGATGGCATCGTAGAATTTGTACACTCTCAGTACAGCCGTATTCTGACGTCACAAGTGTCAATTCAGTTTTTGTGTCCGACAAAATTATTGATAATAGTGATAATTTTAGAATAAAGTGCTTATCTCACAGAAAAATAAGATCAATTTTATGTGTTCTTTATTTTCGGTTCTACACTTTTTTATTTAATCTTTGAAAACATGTCAAAATGTGAGAAAATTTTGTTTTCCTTGTTGTATTTGACACTTGTGACGTCGTGTATAATTGCTCCATTTCTCTGTTGCCACCTATTGTACTTGATATTCTATTCTATTTGGGATTTTCTCAAACAATGTGGACGTAATGTTAGAAAAGAAAACAATCAACAAAAGAAACACACAAAAAATTCTAAATTTAAATAAAAAAGCGCATTATGTATTATTTTGTAATAATATTTTTTTCAGAATGCCGGATACCCTGATTTATCTGATTCTAGGTAAATATTTAAAATAAAAATGTTAAAAATGTAAAAATCAAGAAAAAAAATTGAATTAAACTGGTTAACTCTTTACTTTTGCTAAAACCTCTTAAAATCAGATATTTGTATTTCTGTCTTAAAAATTGCCAACTAATTTAGCAATGAAATAAAATTGCCAACTAATTTAGCAATGAAATAAAAGTTTACAGCTCGTAAAAAAACTTGAATAAAGAAAAAATTCTTGAAAATTTGCATCCTTTGTGGGTGGTGGTACCCCCCGTAAACCTTGCTTTTGATAATCTAAAATGAATTTACAGAGTTGACTTATATAACGGGTATGACAATGAAGTAGACAGTGCAGTGTTTGAAAAGGTAATCTTTTAATTTTTGTTTTTTCTCTCATGTTTTATATCATTTACTTGTTTTTTATTTGACATTTTATCTCTAAAATGGCAATTTTCATTTTATCAACAATCACCGTCAACGGACAGCCGTTGCGTAGTTCATTTGAGTATCCGAGCTGGTCCCAGTTTGTACTGTATCGCCCGGACATTGGGTAAATAAAGCAGACACTCAATAAAACTAGCCGGTGCAACAAGGTTGACGCGGTCAGACTTTAAGTTGAATTTACTTTTACTGAAGGGTCAGAGGTGCGTGCGTTGCATATATCAACTCGATAAAGACGACTTTTGATTGGATACAGAATACAGATAGACATGAAAACGATGAGAAGCAGAAAATAAAATAGCTTCTCATTAATAACCCGTAATTACTTATAAACTAGAAAACAAAGCTTGATAACATTTTTTTGTTAATTTAGATACAGGGTGTCCCACGAAACATGACAGTATGCAGGACGACTTGAATGTCGTCTTGATTTTTGATATAATTTGCTGCGTTTATTTGTCAACCTAATTTTAGAAGTAAAATTCTAGAGATAATAATCACAAAATTTCCCTTATCCTGCCATTTCCAAAATGTGGTCTGCCTTTTTTGGGCTTTCAATATTGCCCGAGATATGAAGAATTTCGTTCAGATTTCAACAATTTTGCGACTCAAAGAAGTTCGTAGTAAGATTTCGATTCTACTGGAGACCACCGGAGGGATTTTATTTTCACTGGAGGGGTTTCAAAAATGCTTTTAACAATTTAAAACTTTACGCAGGGTGATTTACATTCCACTGGAGGGATTCAGATATCCTTCCTAGGGATTTATAATTCCACTGGAGGGATTCAGTTATCCTTCCAAGGGGTTTATAATTCCACTGGAGGGATTCAGATATCTTTCCTAGGGGTTTATAATTCCACTGGAGGGATTCAGATATCCTTCCTGGGGGTTTATAATTCCACTGGAGGGATTCAGATATCCAACCTAGGGGTTTATAATTCCACTTGAGGGATTCAGATATCCTTCCGAGGGCCGGGTTTATAATTCCACTGGAGGGATTCAGATGTCCTTCCAAGGGGTTTATAATTCCACTGGAGGGATTCAGATATCCTTCCTAGGGGTTTATAACTCCACTGGAGGGATTCAGATATCCTTCCTAGGGGTTTATAACTCCATTAGAGGGATTCAGATATGCTTCTTGGGGGTTTATGATTCCACTGGAGGGATTCAGATATCCTTCCGTGGGGTTTATAATTCCACTTGAGGGATTCAGTTATCCTTCCAAGGGGTTTATAATTCCACTGGAGGGATTCAGATATCCTTCCT